AACCACAAGGTAAGTGCGTCACTGCCGCCACAGCCGCCACAGCCGGCACAAAGTCGATGCGTTGATGATGTGATGTGCTAACACGTTCTCTCCAACATTCCAGGTGCACTCCGGCGCCGGGCCCGCGCCCGACAGGTGATATACCTTCTCATTTTTGTCCTCTTTGCTTTCACCGACACGTTTTTGAGGCGTCGGTGCGGTTTTGGATGTGTGAGATGTAACTAAGTAACGCTTACGTAGCAGCTGGGTGAGCGGCGGCGGGGCAGGCGGGGCAGGCGGGGCAGGCGGGGGAGGCGGTGAGGGCGGCGGCGAGGGTGCGGGGGGCGGGGCGGGCGTGTCCCGGCTGCGGCTGATGTTCGGGGGTGGGCGGCAGGTGAGTGCGGAGGAGCAGCGCAGCTGAAGTGAGTGAGGAGGACAAGTGATGGAGTAAAGCGCGTGTGCGTGTGTTGCAGGAGAGCGCGCGCGGCACCTACCCGCATCTGCAGTGCCCGCCCACCTTCCAGCCCGAGAGCTACTCGCTGGCGCACGCCGCCGCGCGCCGCCCCCGCACGCACCGCCCGCATCACCCGCATCACCCGCACCACACGCATCACCCGCATCACCCGCACGACTGACGCTCAGGTGGGCCGGCGGCGACACCTACACATATAACCTGTATATGAACAGGGCTTTTGAGGTGAACTGATCAAAGCTTGTGTGAAATAAAAATATTCCTTCGGCAGAATTTGTGAGAGAGGACGGAGAGGGACGCGCGGGAGGATGCGAGGGCGCAGGGCGCAGGGCGCAGGGCGCAGGGCGCAGGGCGCAGGGCGCGAGGCTCCACATATTGTATGCGACATATTGAACGTATAAGTTCCGAGGCGAGACACGCGCTGCTTTAACAACACAGACCGTTAATCACAGACGTAGTACACTTTGTACGACAAACACGTAGCCGTCCGATTTACTTTATTAGCAAGGATTTACTGTGAAATGTACGTATGGAGCTGTGATGTGTGGGGTGAGGGGGGTGAGGGTGGGTGAGGGGGGGGGGCAGGTGAATGAGAAACGTCCAGTATTTTGTACAATAACTTAGGCTGTGTCTGTGTCTAGTTCCAAGTGAAAGAGCAAATGTTGTCGACGTGCAGCTGCGCATTTGAGGACAGTTGACACTTCTTCATATGTTTATATGATTTTTTTGGAATGAAATAAATACTCTTTGTACTGTAGCTGCCGTGTATTTCTTCTTTTATGTCATTTTCTATGTCTCAGTAGAATTTATATATGTTCTGTTAGAATGAACCGCGACAGCGGCGCCTCTCAGAGATATTCTTCTTTAGTTATATTTTTATCTTAAACGTTTATAGTTGAGTTGAGTAGGTGGTAGGTGTGGCGAGATGTGCAGCTTGTTCATCGTTACCAACATTTAGAGGTTTGCTCGGAACTAGAGACAGACGTATAGAGTTAGAGTTAGCTGTTCAGGTTACGACACAAACGTACGTACAATTTCAATGTTGTGTCATTTTTTTAAGATCAATATTTTGATTGTACAATGAGTTATATTAACGCGATGCTTTCAATATTTACAATGAAATTAAGCTGTAATTATATTATGAAAGACTTTAAAGATTTGAATAAGAACGTAGTTTCCTGAATGTACATATCGTGTCACGTGCGTGGTAAACAATATGACGAACTTGTTATTTTATTAATTATTTTCAATGAAAGAATGTGCTTCCAATGCAAACGGTCCCTTAAATGATATTGCTTATATATAATAGTATGATGTGACGACATACACACATGTATGTATGTATGTATGTATGTATGTAGTGTCGGTCGCGTCGTCACCGCTCCATATACAATATATATTATATTTAATAGTTTAGTGAACTGATTGGAGCTACATGTACCTACATGTCTCATTCAATATATATATCAATAAGAAATTATTTTAAATATAAACATGTTATTTTGAATTAGTAAGGCCTTAGATTTAATGTGAGTTTATTATACATTTTTATGAATTTAAACAATTAAAATTTCCGATGTTTCATTTAGATGATTTTACAAACATAAAATGCAATAGAAAATGATGTTGAAACATCGGGAATTGAAAAACATTTAGAATTATAATGAAGTTTTATACAAGGTAGGAGTATCGCCATATTGGACAATGGCCAACATCAATGTTTACATACGTATTTACATTAATCGTGTAGTGAAACCTTGAGATGTATGGATGGGAGAGGCTCAACTTGCTAGGGTTGTAGCTGAGTCGTTGCTCACTGTGCTGTACACGTCTGTCTCCCGCGCACGTACACGAGCGGGAGGGGGGGGGGACTGTAGTAAGTTACATTGAATTTATATTTTTGTATAGAGATAGAGAAGGAGAAAGAGGATGTATAAAAAGGGAGACGTTTGTGCGCTCGCTCGAGTCGCACTCTGTCTCGTTCAATTATCCAACTTATATAAATGCATTTTATACAAACATTCGTTTTATTTTTTAACCACCAAATTGACTATTACAAAATATAACATCGTTTTCCAATAACTAACTTAAAGGATATTGATATAAATGTTATAAACTATGAGGATCTACGTTTCGTTTAGTTGTAGTAGTGTAGACCGGCAGCGACTGGATGTGACCTGATGAGGCATCGAGATTGCGATTAAGATTTACATGAATCCAAGTTGAGTCACGCTTCAGTGATGAGACACTCGCGCGAGACTGTCGCGTCGCGGACTGTCGCGCCGCGCCGGGACATTGCCGGCGCTCGAGAGCACTTTCTCAGATTACACGCCATATCGGCTTCTTAAAAAATGAAACGACCCATTCTATGGATTGTTTTGTTGTTGATAAATAAAACAAAACTCGTATCGACTTTCATCTCACAATTTTTATTGTCTGAATCAGAATTAATAAACTCGTATCATAAAAACACTTATCGAAATGTAAATGTAAATAACTAAATACTGCAGGTTGTAATTTAAATATTGCAGTGGTTTATCTTCTCAGAATTCGTAGTACGAAACTTTGACAACAATTTAGTTGGTCTACAGCTGCATTTTGCACTGTGCTTAAGTAGCGCAAGTATGTAACATATAAAAACGGCAGCTTCATGATGTTTATATTTACCGATCGATTCCCGAGATACAATAAATCATATATTTATTTTTTGCGGAGTCGCTATTATTCTTGTAAAGGAAAGGGAAAGTGAAGTGGCAGCCGGCTGCCGGCAGTCATGACGAGGGTGTTGGGCGCACGCTTACCTAGCTGACGCTGCAGCAGACCTCTGCTAACCGTTTGCCTATAAATTGAAGTTATTTGACTTGATCGACCTCCACATTATTCTTGAAGTAAGGAACAGAAATGTTTTTGCAGAATTAAATAAAATTCGTAGGAAGTGATACTACAGAACAACAACAATAGTGAAAGTTGTACAGGATGGGGCGGAGCCGGTGACCGGTGATTGACACGAGATGTATTATTTTCCTCGCAAACAAGCGGAGATTAGCTCGTTACAAAAGGTTTGGCGGCCGTTATTTCTCATTACAACTTGGTGAAAAGATTATCATATTTTATTCTAGGAGAGCCCTTCATTGAAAGTGATTTTATGTTTGTATTTATAAGAAGGGCTGCCAGTGTTCAAAGCAACATGAATATTATATATAGTTTTGTAAAATATATAAATTGTAAATAAAACTTTAATAGTTAAACAGGTCAGTGTGACACACACGTAGCGAAACATTTTGTGTTTGTTGTCGTGTCATTCGCCGCCACAGTCCAAATATCATGAAATTGCAGCACTTCAATAATGTTGTCTGTTTCAGTGAAACTGGTTTAATACTTTCTTGTAACTCGCATTCCACACAAAAGCCTACAAAAAGGTTTTGAAATGGGTCCCAAATTGACGTCTCACGATTTATTTATTTAGTGACCGCAAAGAAAGGGATAGCCCTTTTAATATTTAATTCTAATCACTGCTTTTTCTATTCGGGTTGGATTTTATAGTAGTTTATAGTACACGACCAGAAATATTTAGTATCGAAACTGGTACACGGAATAGATATTTAGACAAAGTATGAGAACATGAGCTCAATTTTCTCACTAACTGCCTCGGAGACAGTATATTGATTTAGCGTATATGTCGTATATGCAATGTCCTGTAATAATTTATTCGTTTACTTTTTAAAAACTGATGTATGTACAGTTTGCAGCATAATGTTTGATATTATAATGATTTAATTTGTGTGAGCTATCGTGTTGTGCCGTAGCGCAGCTGGACTGTAGCCAGTCGCCAAGCGCCATGTTACAATAAAAGAAAATCACCATCGTCTTATTATCTGGACAATTAATAAAATTAATGGGTCTGCATATAATATCGAAAAAACATAATGCCATATTTCTCGAACATGATCTATTTGTTTATCACCAATACAAATTTAAAACCTTTTGTCTGTCTATACTTACAATTTATCAGGCAAATAATAATAATAATAATACTACAAACTTAGCTAATACTAAAGTAATGTCGTAGAATGTACAAATGCTGAATGTTGTCCGGTCGCTACATCGTCATGTCTCGGGTCCAAGGATCCCATTTCCACTAAGGCACGAGTAGCGCGGTCGTTATTTGTATGAGAGGGTCGTTCCACGATTGAAATTTGAAACAGCTTATAGAAATAGCAGTGTCTCCGGTTGTCGCGCTAGTGGAAACAGGTGTAAGACAGCGACTTGAAAACTAATTGTAGTTTCCGTTGTCTGCAGCGACGCTTAAACGTGGGATAGACCGCCGCAGTACTGTCCTGCAGCTAGATTGAATAGCTTTCTCACAGACAATGTTGCTGTATTACTAAAGTCTACAATAAATTATGTGTTACTCAAATCAAATTCACTTACCTACATATAAACATTATAATGTTTCTTACTCAACATCAAGGTACATTTTACGTTAATCGTAACATTGAACGAAAGTAAAATATACCATAAACCTAATTTATTTGTTTTTAATTTTCGATTGACAATTGAGTAAAGATAAATTAACAAATTCCAGCCACAAATTGAATACATCTGTTAGGTAAATGAAATGCAATTCGCTCATTTATTTAGTTTTCATTATATTGTTTGATGGAATTCATTAAAATGAAAGGTTGCAACAACACTTACAATGTGTCACGGGGTAAATGATGCCACATGGCAATAGATCTGATACTCCTTGTATGTTAAACAATGGAACACCTTGCCACATCGAATGCCAAGCGAAGAAATATAGTCATCGATTGATTATTATATAAGTAATTCATTGGAAAGGCAAAAGGTTTGGTGTCGTAATGTCCACAAATAATTTTCTCAATTAATTTCCTTGTATCGAAGACGACAATTCCTATATTAAAAGGAAGAAATTAATATTATTAGGAATTATTTTGCGAAATTGTATAAATAATTCGGCGACTATTTTTCAATATCATATTTAAAATATAACAACACGTAGTCAGTCATAAAATCAAACAGATCAAGAGATTGAAAGGATAAAGAATGTAAGCGTTCGCCGATTGACTTGATCCGAAGCTTATCTCACGACGGGTACCGTCTGAACTCCGCTCTGGTCACACTTTGATGTTATAACGTTTGGCGCAACTCATATGCGGTGGCGGGGACAAAAAGATTTTTCTACTCACTATATTCTTATTTTATAGCGATGTTTCATAGTAGTTGGTTCATATCTTGAGTATTTCAGTTGTTCGAGTTTGATTGACTATGCGGCGACATCTGGCGACACTGCGGCGCTCGAGACAAGATAATGCTTTTAGGAGCCGAGCTGATCTCATTCCGGCACACACACATGTCAATGTTACCATTTAGTCCATCGATTAGCACTGGAAATTGTTACATCTAGAATAGTTTGGTCATTTCACTAGAGTTTGAGTTGTCGATTCACTAGATTATGCAACATGGGACTGGACTGGATCTCGACTCTTCGATCTGGTAAAGTTAACAGTTGTATTACAACACAAAATAAAAGCAACTATCTTCTAAACAAAGCTCATTCAATTAACAATATCCTATCACAGCCGTTATATTTCTAGAGGAACAAATTTAAATTTTGGATTTTAATCGTTGTTTCGGCACGGCGTGGCGCCGGCGAGCCGATATTTACACATATCTGGGTATAAATTGAATTTCATATTGACACAGTTGGCGCGGCAGACGTTTCCAATTAGCTATCAAAACTTGGCTTAATTCCAAATTAATTTTGGTACATCAGCGTGAGGGTTCTTCATCGCGGATGTTAGAGCTACCGGTGCGTTTACGTGTTCTTCCAGACCATAATCTATATGTATGCCAAATTTCATAGAGATCCGTTCAGCCGTTCTGGATATACCTTCAAACAAACATCCATGTATACATCTAAACATTCGCATTTATAATATTAGTAAGAAGTAAGATGCAATGCAACAAAACAAGTGAAAACTCATAAAATTTATCAGTAAAATATAAATATCCCGAGGTAAAGATTCAGTTTTAATTTAAATTATCCTGTTGTTATTTGCAACATTTACTTAATTTACAATATTTTATGAGTGACATAGTTCGCCTTTATTTTCCAAT